AAACAGTAAAAACTTATCAAGCACATGTATCCATGTACTCAAAAAAACAAAACAAACTTTTGTAGTTTATACATTTTATTATTATTATTTAAGTCATTATGCAATAAACCCAATACTCCAGAACCTTGTCAAATTTCCATCACAAACAAAGAGAGTATAATTCAATGTTAGGTCTAGTTAGGGTCTAATTCGTAATTGTTAAGCACAAAATGAAACACCTATCAAATTAAAAATAAAAAAGCCAAAAGTCAACAACTACTAAATTAATAAAAACAGATACACATCACCATTCATGCACTTTAAAGGTCTAATTGTTTAAGTTCAAACTAATTTTTTAAGCTAGTTAAGGAAGATAATATCATATACGTTACGCTTGTTTTTAAAAGACAAATGTAAGTTTCGTAAAATTTAAATATTGTAAAGTTCATTTAAGATTGAACGCAAAATCTTCAAAATTTAAAAGCCTATAACATAAAACGACTCTTGATGTAGCTTATATAACATTATTATAATTGCAGTTAGGATTAAGTAAATTTTATATAAATTGTGGAGTTAAAATTCAAAACCTAGCGTTATATCAACAACATACTTAAGTGAAGAAGAAAATAAACATTTATTTATGTACTCAAGGATGTTATACAAAGAGAATTTTAATGATAAAATGTAAAATTTGTATAACAATACCTCTAGAACTTATTTTAGGCTAAAATAACAACACCAGTAAAGGAAAAGCAAACAAATTCTACATTTATGCAGATTTTCGACTGTTCAACTGTAAAAGCCAAGTCGGGATTTTTCTTTAAACATTACCGACCTACTGACTGTAGGCTTTTTCATTATAATACGCGCACGTAACAATGACCTTAAGGGTTTGTAAGATTGCTGAGTCAAATGAAGAGGTCAACAAGAGATGTCAACACGGTTATTTCCTGACTTGAAAAGAAAAGAAAATATTAATAACTGTTGAATTTATTGTTTTTTATGTAGATGAAATTGAAACGATGGGCTCATAATTTTGTAGGTTTATGTTTCGAAAATGTAGTATCGACTTTTCAAATTTCAAAATTTTTAAAAAAATTTACCTTACTTTTGAAGGTCGGTCTTTTAAATTTGTAGTTTCATGGTAAAACTGAATTGAAGTTTTTTATTAAAAGGAAAACACATAACACAAAATAACAAAGCCCATACTTAAAACAATGACCAAATGACAAAATTAAGAAAAAAAGGAAAGAAACGGAATATGTAACTGTTATGTGAAATAACATCTTCTAACACAACTTTAAAGTTTGTGTTCATTATTTTTAGATATGTAGCTATGTAAAAGTTTTGAAATAAAGGATGTGATTTTTTCTATTTCTTTTAATTTTTTTTTTTTGAAACGGGAAATGTCGACGCGATTATCTTTTGACTTGAAAAATGTAAAGAAAAAGTATATACAACTGTTATATGAAATAACAACATCCCATAACCTAACTTTAAAGTTCGTGTTTATTATTTTTTAGTTATAAATGTACGTTTATGTTTTGAAATAAAGGATGCTATTTTTTCTATTTTTTTAATTCTTTTTCAAACCAGAGATGTCAACGTCATTAACCTCTGACTTGAAAAAAAGGAAAGAAACGGGATATGAAATAACAACATCCTACAACATAAATTTAAAGTTCGTGTTTATTATTTTTAAGATATATAGGTAGGTAATAGTTATGAAATAATGGATGTTATTTTTTCTATTTCTTTTAATTCTTTTTATTTTTATTTTTTATCTTGAGAGGTGAAATATGGTGATATTGTTAAGTATACTTTATTTTTAATAAAGCTGGCAAAATGAATGTTTGCATTCTGCCCTGGTGGCGGAGTTAAGTATAATAGTTTTCAAATTTTATGTTATTTGTTTACCAGGTTTAATAAAAAATGGATATTGCTGAGTCAAATGAAGAGGTCAACAAGAGATGTCAACACGGTTATTTCCTGACTTGAAAAGAAAAGAAAATATTAATAACGGTTGAATTTATTGTTTTTTATGTAGTTGAAATTGAAAAATAAATGGTTTTCCGCGCCAGTTAAAAAGACGTTACGGATGAAATGTCGAGATATTGTTAAATACAGTTTAATTATGTTTTCTTGCGGTGATGTGACAGCTTCTCATCTGATATGCCGTAGTCAAGTGGAAGAGCTGTAAAATCGCATCATAATTCAAATTGCAGCGGAAAAAGGAAAACAACGACGATTGGCTCATACTTTTGAAGGTTTCTGTTTCGAAAATATGATTTTGATATCGTCCTAAAAATACCATAGTAAGATTATTCGAAGAGGAATCACTGTTATATGAAATAACTAAATAAAATCCTTTGACATAGCTTTAACCCTTTGTAGTTATTATTTTTATTTAAATAAACTTGAATTAAAAAAATTGATGTTATTTTTTTACTTCTGTTGACTCTTTTTAACCATTAGAGATGAAACAACAAGATATTATTAAATATAGTTTAATTTTAAGGTATATGTGTGGTGATTAGTGACCGTTAATCGATATTTATTTAGAAATCGTGAGATGCGGTCTGGTGTGATGAAGGTTTCAGAAAAACATTTTCTTTATCGTGCCAACGTTTCGATCTTTATTGAGATCATCTTCATGGCCTGGGATTTACAAACATTGTGTACGTATAACAATTACATTTTGGATGTGGAAAAGTGTAAATCCCAGGCCCTGAAGATGATCTCAATAAAGATCGAAACGTTGGCACGTTAAAGAAAATGTTTTTCTGAAACCTACATCACACCAGACCGCATCTCATGATTTCTAAATAAATTTAAGATATATTTTATAGAACCGGTGATATTAATTTTTTTTATTCTGACACGAGCCGTAGTTAATGGTAACAGTTGTAAAATCCCATAATTATTCAAATTTCAGAATTTAAAAAAACAATGACTCATACTTTTGAAGGTCGGTCTTTTAAATTTGTAGTATCGTCGTCAAACTGAATGTAGTTTTTTATTAAAAGGAAAACACATAATACAAAATAACAAAGCCCATACTTAAAACAATGACCGGTAAGAAGTCTTAAGATTGCTTATTCAAGAGTTGAACGAGAGATGTCATCGAGATTATCATGTAAATAGAACTTGTGATATGACCTTTTGAATTCCGACGTGATGCCGAAGATAACTATAATAGACCAAAGACCTTTTAAATATATAGTATCGATTTAAAACTAATTAAAAGTTTATTTGAAAAGAAACAACTGTTTTATAAAATAACATCCTTTAACATAACTTTAAACATTTGTGGTTAGTATAATTTTTTAAATACATAGGAAAATTTCAAAATAATGAAAGGTGTTAATTTTTTTGAATCTTTAGAGATGAAACGTCACTGTTAAATATAGTTTAATTTGAGGTTCGTAGTAATTATTACAGTTGTACAATCGCATGAAAATAATAATGTCCGTTTGTATATTGGCATAATTTCCTAGTTAAATACAATAGTTTTAAAATCGCACGATAATTCAAATTTCAGCAGTAAATGAAAAACAAAGCCATCGATTGACTCATACTTTTGAAGGTTGATCTTCTACATTTTTTGTTCAAGTCGACGTATTGTAAAAGATCAATATCGTTCCATAGCAGTAAAAAAATTACTCATGCTTTTTTTTAAGTTGTTCTTTCAAAAGTGCAGTATGGAAGAAAAAATAACTTGTCAATTTATTTTAAAAAGAAAACATATAGCAATAAACTCATCCTTAACAAATAACCCTAAGGAGTCTTAAGATTGCTGATTCAAATGAAGACAGAATGAGATGTCATCGCGATTATCTTCTGACTTGAACAAAAAAAGACAAAAAAAGGAAAGAAACGGACTATGTAACTGTTATATGAAATAATAACATAAATTTAAAATTCATGTTTATTACTTTTAAGATACGTAAAAGTTTTGAAATAATGGATGTTAATTTTTCTATTTCTTTTAATTGTTTTTTGAAACGAGAGATATCAACGCGAGTCTGACTTGAAAAAAAAGAACAAAAAAGGAAAGAAACGGAATAAGTAACTGTTATATGAAATAACAAAATCCTATAACATACCTTTAAAGTTTGTGTTTATTATTTTTAAGATATATAGGTATGTAAAAGTTTTGAAATAAAGGATATTTGTTCCATTTTTTTATATTCTTTTTTGAAACGAGAGATGTCAACGCGATTCTGACTTGAAAAAAAGAATTAAGAAAAAAAGGAAAGGAACGGAATACATAACTGTTAAATGAAATAACACATCCTATAACATAACTTTAAAGTTCGCGTTTATTATTTCTTAGATATAAAGGTACGTTGAAGTTTTACAATAAAGGACGCTGTTTTTTATTTTTTTTAAATACTTTTTCAAACGAGAGATGTCAACGCCACTATCTTCCGACTTGAAATAAAATTAGGAAAAAAAAGGAAGGAAACGGAATACGTAACTGTTACATGAAATAACAACATTCTATAACATAACTTTAAAGTTCGTGTTTATTATTTTGAAGATAAATAAGTATGTAAAAGTTGAAATAATGGATGTTATTTTTTGAATTTCTTTTAATATTTTTTTGAAACGAGATATCAACCGCGATTATCGTCTGACTTGAAAAAAAAAAAAAAAAGAAACGGAATATATAACTGTTATATGAAATAACAACGTCCTACAACATAAATTTAAAGTTCGTGTTTATTATTTTTAAGATATACAGGTACGTAAAAGTTATGAAATAATGGATGTTATATTTTCTATTTCTTTTAATTATTTTTATTTTTTGTCTTGAGAGTTGAAAAATCGTGATATTGTTAAGTATACGCTTTATATTTAATAATTTGTATTCTGTCATGATGCCGGAGTTAAATCTAATAGTTTTCAAATGTTATGTTATTTGTTTACCAGGCTTAATTACAGATGGATATTAATTGAAAAGAAATTAAAAATTTTCTTAAATTTTATGGGATTTTAAGATGATTGTCGGTTCATACCTTGAATAATGAGATCCTTTATAAAATGTTGCGTATGTCCAAAAGAGTGTCGGTAGGGATAACAAGAAGAACAAAAACTAGTCACATGTACACAGAGAAATGAGAGCGGCGGATAATAAACGGGCACAAACCGGCTGAGACGATAGGACCACCACTGAGGACCATTGACTACTGAGCACTGAGGGACGAGGGTGGAAGGCGGCGACCCCTTCCACGTCGGCCCGGCCCGGCGTTGCCGTGATCCCCCTCCCGTGGCCGGGTTGAAGCGTCTCCACCACCCCCGCGCCCGCCACCCGCCGCTCGCCGGCCACTCGTCCCGGCCTTGGGCCCCCTCTTTCAATACCGTTTCCCAGACCCTTTTTTCTCTCCCACAGGTCTTTTTTTCCCCATTCTTTACTCCACTACGCGACGACGGTGAAAAATCTAAGCCCGAAGTTCCTGGGAAGTTAATCACGTCAAAATCGACAAAACCTGGGGAACACAACAACCAGATGATATCTTGGGTGCCAGGACACAAAGGAATTTTGGGTGATGACGAAGAAGACACCCTGGCCAGCGGAGGACAAAAGTTAGGCCCCAAACCTTACTTGGGATAACAAAACAAATACAAAATCCTTCATCAAAGAATGGATCCAAATAAAACAAAAGGAGAAGTGGATAAACTGTATGGTAGTAAAGATATGCTAAAACAACCCTCATTAAGACTGGTAAACTCTCTGCTGCAATTGGAGATGGCTAAACACAGATGAGTGATAGGACTATTAACCGATCACTGGCATATGAGAAAACAAATCCTAGGAAACACAACAAATTACAATATCTTAGGTGCCAGGACCGATAGGATTTTTGGGTGATGAAAAAGAAGACACCCTGGCCAGCGGAGGATCTGGAAGACAAAAGTTAGGTCCCGAACTTTACTTGGGATAAAAAAACAAATACAAATTCCTTCATCAAAGAATGGATCCAAATAAAACAAAAGGAGAAGTGGATAAACTCTATGGTAGTAAAGATATGCTAAAACAACCCTCATAAAAACTGGCAAACTCTCTGCTGCAATTGGAGATGGGTAAACTCAGAGAAGTGATAAGACTATTAACCGGCCACTGGCATATCACAAAAAAATCCTGGTGAACACAACAAATTACGATGATATCTTGGCTGCCGGGACAGAAAGGAATTTTGGGTAATGAAAAAGCAGACACCCTGGCTAGAGGAGGATCTGACCGCACTTAGGCCTCGAACCTTACCTACTTGGGATATTTAATGAGATTTTAAAATATTGTCTGTTCATACCTTGAATAATGAGATCCTTTATAACATGTTGCATATGTCCAAAAAAGTGTCGGCAATACAACCCTCGATCATAGAATGGATCCAAATAAAACAAAAGGAGAAGTGGATAAACTCTATGGTAGTAAAGATATGCTAAAACAACCCTCACCACGACTGGCAAACTCACTGCAGTTGGAGATGGCTAGACTCAGAGGGATGATAGGACTATTAACCGGCCACTGGCATATGAGAAAACATGTACATAACAAGGACATATAACGATGACCCCATTTGTAGGTTATGTAATAAGAAGGGAAAAACAGCCACCCATATCATCTTCAAATGCGAAGCAACAACCCAATGGAGACAACCTAGTGAATGAAATTGTAGCAACAACAATGAGCTAGAACGACTGACAAGAAGGATTGTCTCGATTGCTCTGGACGAAAACGACTGAACACTGACGACTGAAACGAGGAAGGTATCATAAGCCAGAAAGCTCCAGTGCCTGGGATGGATCACCAGGATCACCATCACACTGGGTAAATTCAAATGGGCACGGGGAAGGTTTACTTGTAAATATACATTGTTTCATACAATTGTCAAAAACAATACAAACCTTATTTGATATTCACTAGTTTCGTGGTCCGCTTGACCAACTAATATCTTTCAATTAATTAAGGTTTTTAGTTGGGAAAAAAAGTCAGTGTCATGAGCGAGAAACCCACCTTTTGAATTTTCCCTCCATTTCGCCGTTTTTCAAATGTTTAATCTATTTGATTCTCGGCGACAAATGAAATGGCCACGAAGAGCTTTAGTGAAGATATACTTCATTTTAACTTCTTAAATTCACTAGTTTCGTGTTCCGCTTCACCAATTAATATCTTTCAATTAATTACGGTTTTTAGTTGAGATGAAAAAAATGGCGAAAAGGAGGGAAAATTCAAAAGGTGGGTTTGAGATGGGAGGTTAGATTCCGAGTGGATCGAAGTCACGATAGCTCAAGTGGTAGAGCAACGGCGTATTTAGGTCGTGGGTTCGAATCCCGCTCGTGACACTGACTTTTTTATCTCAACTAAAAACCTTAGTTAATTGAAACTTATTTGATATTGTTTTCACCTGCTCATAGTGAACGGGATCGCGTTAAATTTTGTAGGATTTTTTAAAGATAAATCTTGGAATGGTTGTATAATAAAAAATAAGGATATTTTTTTTAAATAAAATTAAAACAGAATAGAACCAAATGTCCTTATTATATTCCGATATTTTAAAAAACAATAAAAATAGTTAAAATTAAAAACTTAATTAATTTAAAAAATGCATAAATAAAAATCCAATAGTTTCAATTTTGGTGCACTCTTGAAATACTACAAGACATCTACAAAAACTTCTTTAAAGTAAAATAAAAAATTATAAAATAAATTAAAAAATGCATATTTTAAAATATAATATAAATACCCAAAAAATAGATTATATATTTAAAAAATCGTTTAACAAAACTGCATAAAGATAAATAAAATAGATAACTTTCTTCCATCTTGGCCATGCGGCTTGTCGGGAAGTAAACTTTACTTAATATGACTTAAAAATAATACAAAATTTTATATAAATAAACTAAAAGTACATATGCAAAATAGTCATGTAAATTTCAAAATGAACTATACAGGGTGACACTAACTGTGAATGAGAACTGTCTTGACTATAACTATACAGGGTCCGAGTGCATTTAGGTCACGATAGCTCAAGTGGTAGAGCGGCGGCGTATTTAGTCGGTCGTGGGTTCAAATCCCGTTCGTGACACTGGCTTTTTTATCTCAACTAAAAACCTTAATTAATTGAACTATACAGGGTGTAGGGTTACTCGCTCACAAACATGGCTAGTGAATTTCTCACCACCAGGGCACGAACCATGGTACGATTCTCAACCTTTCGCAGATATTTAACATTTCGTTTCTTACGGTTTTCTTCATAAATCTACTCGTTGCTCTTGAACTATTCATTTCTGGGAAAATCCAAAAAAAACCTTACTTAACACCAAAGTAACTACGTAATAATATACCTTGAAACATTTGGTATGTAAACTACAGATACAAAAAGTGACCAAGGGTAACCGCCTTGCATTTCTGCGCAGATTCCGAAACCGTCGTAAATTTTTTTCGACGTCAAGTATTGTCGACGTCGTTTTTTTTATTTGAAACGGGAAAAACAAATTTTTTAATTTTTTCTAAAACTAGATTTTTTCTGAGAAGAATGCGTACCACGACTTTGGAACACCTTCAAAAGTGACGGCTCTAGGGTTTTTTGAAAATATTTTTTAAAAAATAAGGAAAAATGATAACGAGGTCGGATTTGGGTGGGTACATTATTGTAGTATATGGTGAGAGGAAATTTGCTTCTAAATGTAAATGTGACATGATCTGCTGTACATTGATATTTCTCTGCAGATCTTCCGAAGCAACTGCAGGATCGTGGTTAATGTTGAAGTCAACTTGCATTTGCTCATCCGGTTAGGTCTTAAAACGGACAACGTCCTCAATAACGGAGTTGCTTCATAGTATGGAGAAAAGCGGTTAGCGAGCTGTAGTAGCTACCAGTGTACCGCTGCTAGCGTACTCCCGTAGCAATACTCAGACAGGTATCCAGTTAGGTCTGACCTGGTTCATCCGTTCCAGGATTAGGCGAGGGTTGTACAGCTGTCATCGGCCAAAGATGGTGATAGGTGCAATGGTAATATCTGCAATCTAAGGGCGATGACACACGGAGCGGTTTTGACCGAAGCGTTTATCGCGAGAAAAATCGAGGCGGTGAGTCGTTCATTGTTGTTGCATTAACCTGACAGACGTAGCGGTCGTAACCGCCTGTCGGTTTTCAAACCGAGTCGGTCGGTGGCGGAGACGACCCAACGCGTCGGTTTTGAAAACGCCAGGCGGTGAGTGGTACCCAAGTATTGCATCAGCCCTGACACACGTGGCGTTTATTTGAGCTGTTTTTCTTGTTTGTTCCCCACTTTCTTGAGGGCTTGTTCGTTTGTCAGTCTTCTAATTTACTTTTATGATGCAAAAAATAGACGTGGAGAAAAAAATTTGTAATGCGGCATTTTATTTTACTATGTAACTCGTCAAAACTGCCCATTTACAACCTGGTAATGTTAAAACATTCTTCAGGGTGTTTCCTCATCTCTGAAAACAAATTCTTAAAATGCCCTCTTTCGCTTCTCGTCTCGACAATTGGATGAACCCACATTCTCCTGTGTTTTTTCTCCATTCTCTTCTTCCAACGATAGTACAACAGACACCAGAAGTATCTCTTCATCCATGGGAACTCCATGGGGAATGGGCCAATGCCAGTTCAATAAGATTAATAAATAATAGAATTTTAGCTAATTCTCAACTTCCTGACGCCTAAGCTTTACATATTGATACTTAACCACCACTAAAAATGGGGGGGGGGAAAATCTAAGTATTTACAGATTGTACGGTGCTGTACAGTAACACAACCGTTTTTAAAACGAACTCACCTTCCTCCAGGGCCTCTTTTAACTTTACAACTACTTGAAAGTACATCACCTTATAATTAAATGATTTCTACAGCTTTACGGGTACAAAGTATGCGTATGACTGTCGGTGATACATGATAGTAACTAGTTTAATAAAGATTTTGTTTTGAATATTATCTGGAGGAGGAAGGGGACCTCGTTCAAATCCCAGCTCTGTGCCTTTTAAATTATAGTATGAAAAATGAAAAGTAGTTTAAACCTTGCTTGACTCTGAACAGGAATTACTTTACTTTTATTGATCAGAGAGGATTGATTTTTTTTTGTTGGGGGGAGCGAAACGGGAATCGAACCTACAACTGCAGGATCTAAGCCGAGAGTCTGACACGCCTACTCGGCTACCCGAGATCCCAGTTAAATATAAATCAACTTAAATA